GGCGGGGGGGGAGGGAGCAAGCGGCTGCATGGTGCTGAGTTGCCAGCTGGGTTAAACCATGACAGTCCTTTAAGTCACTTCATTCAAAACCAGTTATAAGGAGCTCAGTAAAAGCATCAGATTGCCACTTTCACCCCAGCCAGTACCTTCCTGCCAGAAGTGTAAGTAGGGGGAAAACCAGAAAGGATTTAATTAACATTATCAAAAAAAAAAACAACCCTGCAAGTTTCTTTTTTTTTATCTAGAGGTAGAGTAAAAATTCATGTTTCTAGGAGAGATTATTTGGAGCAGCTGAGAATTTATTTTATTCATCAGCGCTTCACTAATCCACCAACAGGAATCACAATATCATTTTTACAACTGCTGATGCAGCAGGCACATTTTGACAAGCGGTGGCACTACCAATTTCTGAAATTAAGGGTTCAAAAGCTCTGTCCTGCAAAGAGCTCGGTGCTTTTGCTTGGCAATTTTTCAGCTGTTATCCCTAATAAAAAAAAAAATCATAAATGAGGGAAAAGTACTCACGGCATACATAAACGAGTATGATTTCTAACCTCCAATGAAGAGGCAAGCGATGCAAGTCTTATCCCTACAGGCAGTGAATGCATATTAATACTCTTGGGCTGCTACAAAAGGAACCTGTACCAAATGTGCCATTAACCAGTCCGCTACATAACACTAGAAGCCATTCTGTGTTTAAATTCAGCTTGAATTTACACAAAGTACAACTGAGTAGTTAAAAAAACCCCTGAACTAATATGTTAGAAGTGGAGAGAAGAACATGGTAAGTCACCCAAGCCATGTTACAATCTCAGGTCACAGTTTCACAGCTGCTGCTAATTGAAAGAAGCAGACAAGGACTCATTAAGCCCTCCCTCTCACACACACCTTAGCTTATAGTGAGGGTCACCTCGTTACACTTGCCATTGATAAAAACCCCCACAAAATATTAGGTCAAATGCTAAACCACAACACACATTAAACTATTCCAGTTTTTCAGGTCATGAAGTTATAAGATGGCAACATGACAGGCAGCAATACTGCTTAAGGAAAAAGCAAAAGGCAAATGGTCTTGCCTTCCATCTTCCTGCCAGCTAAAAAATCCTGTAAATGTTCCACTAAAACAGCATAGCGTAAAACCAAGATTAGCTTCTCCAACAGAGAAAGATTTACCTGATGGAATACAGGCTCTTTCAAATTTAAGTAAATCTGGAAAGAGTAAAAAAGAAAAAAAAATATAAATAATTAGCAACAGAGAACAATCACAATATTATTCATCTAAATATTGCCAAGACTTGTTCTGTTAGAATCAAGACATGACTGCCTATTCATGCACCATTAAAGTTGATTAAACATTTAAAGTTTCTTCTGGCAAAACCTGAGATTTTAACTGTGGAATTACTTTAAACTAAGAAGCACAAGAAGAGACATTAGCATCTAAAATCTCCTCATTTAACAGAGTTGCAACACACACAAAAACAATTAAGATGCAGAAATTACCAGACGCATTCTCGATATGCATTGCAAGAAGAAAATGTACTCTACTTTGACTTCCTATTATTAATGTTTTTGGCAATGCTTTAACATTTCAACTCATTTTACAAAAAGCTCTTTCTATTGTTAACTCATTTAATTTCTGCTTTTGAAGAGAGAGGGCGCTAGACCTCATAACAATTTTTAGGAGGCACAGAAGAGAACAGTCAAGTATTCTGAAGGCAGAGGATGACCTGTAACACTTCTTTTAAGAAAAGGTTCTCAATAAAAATAATGAAGGAGATTCCATCTGTGGTTGCCAGCCAGCACAAAACTGCTTTTATTCATAAAGGGAGCACACGGCACTGAGAAAGGGAATCAAGTTAGCCATGACACAGTTAAATTTCTTCTAATTTTTTTAACAGCTAAGTGCCTTTCTTATTCTGGCTGTTGTTTTAAAACACCAGTCAATATCCTGGACTGTGTAACAGAGTTCACTTTTTGCAGTCTGTTGAACAAGATTATTCTCATTTCTGTAGATGAATTCAAGCGAGGGAAAGATGAGGAATGCAACTTGTCCAAGGTCTCAAAACAAGTCAACAGTGACTGCTTTTCTCACATTCCTACTCCAGCAACTGGATTACTGCTTTTCTTCATTTATTCTATACAGTGGGTTAGATAGAAAGGTTTCAGGTTTCTCTGGCCCGCACAGGATTTTCCCAACAACAGAATAATTTGTCCTTCTTGACTAGATGTGAGATAGATTCAGCACTGCCTGTGTAACATCCCTTCACTGGCAGGAAAACTGTCAACCTACAGGTGAAAATGTCGTATTAGAAAAAGTTACTTACTATGCTGACTACGAAGCTGTATGTTATTAACAAGAAAAGCAGCGGATAATTGACTGTGTTCTTGTACTTGAAACATTCATACCTGGAACAGAACATAAAGGAGAGTGATAACATTCATCACTTACCATATGAAGAACACATTTTTCAAGGTATATTATCACAAAATTTGTGAGCAAATTGATCCAAATGAGTCTTAGGCCCTTCAAGAAATTGTAGCTCCTCCAGTAAAGATGTGTCATTTTTATATAAAAGTTCATACTTTTACCAATAAATACTTTTTTTAAAAAAAATCTAGTGCAAAAACCCCAATAAGCTCATACATATACAAAAAATAACCTAGGCAGCAGAAAGAGTTTGGGAAGCAGAAGCGTTTTCAGAAGGCACTTAAGGGGTGATAATGGATGGCAAATTAGAAATGAGTTTAAAATGTAATACAGCTGCCAAAACCCATGACATCTGTGAGCTAAAGGCAGTGTGGGAAAGGGACTGCCTTACACAACAGTGAACTCTAGAGATCTGTTAAAATGCAGATTGTTTATCGCTTTATTACAGTCACAGTGCAGTAAATTTGCTAGATTGGGTACTGGTAGAAGCGGAAAGTAAAACCAGCTGATAGCTCCCAGTATGTAAAACAACTAATTAAAATGAGCTTTGCAATCTGTACGCTACACTTCAGTCACAGTTGTGATGGAATTACACACACACGCATCCCAGACCACATCTCCATCAGAAAAAGAGGTCCAAAAAAACCAATAAAAAATGAATTTTGGGAAGTGCAAAGTCATTAGGGCTAAAGGAAGTTGCCTGTATAACTCCAAGTTACATCTGCCTAGTTTATTTGTTTATAAACTTTTGGAAGCAGACACCATCATGGGTGAATAAAAGGCAACAAAGAAGAAACGTGTAGGAATATTTAGGGGGAAAAGAAAAAAAAATCTACAAGACAGCACAATGTGCTACACTGCAAAATGGCTTGCCAAAGTACACAGCTTGAGAGCCAGTAGGACTGAAAGATGTGTAAGGGAATGTTGTGTGCAGAACCACCCCGCCACCTACCTTCAAGAAAACCGAAACGATTATTAAAGGCCTCCTAAACTAAGCATTAGCTCATTCTTCAGAACATTTTAATTACTACCAAACATACATACACAGAATCTTATTAGAGCTATAAATGCAATAACAGACTTCAGTGCTTTTGAAGATAATAGAGCAACCATTGCACAAAATAAGCACGATTATTTTTTCAAACCGAGTTTTATAGCCACTTCTCATCTTGTTCCCCAATCACATTCAAATCAGACCAAATAAATGCAAAGGCAATTTTAAGGAGATAGGGAGCTACAATGAAAATATTTCCACTAACAGAGGCATTATGAGTCTGAGTTTGCAGAATGGAAATATTTTCATTGTAGCTCCCTAACAGAGGCATTATGAGTCTGAGTTTGCAGAAGCCATACTAATGTATGAATCACAAACCAATGGTAATTTCCACAGATGTGGGTTTAGTCCTGTAGCATCCCATCTCCACTGTAAGCTACCAGTAATCTTCACCACAGCTATTCCGATTATCAACGGCTGAGTATTTGCTATGTTCAAAAGCAAAAAGACAATTTTTTTTATCTTTTTGTCTGCAACAAGTTGATTCATGATTTGGATTTTCCAAGTGACAAAACAAATCATGTTAAATCCAGGCCTTGCAGCAACAGGCAAGAAAAAGCCAACTTACAATATCTTTACAGGTGCCAAATGAAATTAAATGGGAAAAAACATCCTGGCATGGCATTAAGGTGACATGCGTGTTCCAAGACACTCTCCACAAAATACGCACTCAACTCTTCATAAAATCTTTTTTTCTTTACTTTTCCAGATGAGTGGAAAGCAGGTTTAACCAGAAATCCGAAATTTGCATTCGGAGTCAGACTACATCATAGAAATTACAGCTCAAAAAAATTACAATGTTGGTAATTTTGTAGATGTTACTGAAGTTGATCTTATTATGTCCGCTGTTTACATACCAAGTAACACTGAGCTCTGAGTGTATACTACACAAAGTCTTTAACAAGAGTTGTTTTTTTTTTTTCCTGTTAAACAAACACTAGTAAAACATCTCTAAATTAGCAAAAACCTATGACTAAAGTCAGCCTGGTGCTCTAATGGCCAGGTCATAATTCTGTACTGCTAGCAAAATTGAGATCTCACCGAGATCAGTTGAAGCTTCAGTGTCAGCCTCGCTATATACTAGATTGGAAATATAGAATCTGTGAGGCCCAAAGTTAGTATTTCATAAATATTCAGAAAAAAAACATTTAACAAATACTTACAGGCAGTAGACAAACACACAACAACTGTATATCATTGGCAGTTCATCCAACAGCTACAAAAAGCAGAGACATCAAAACATGAAAACTACTTTTAACTGACACGCTTGTGTAAGTTAATTACGGAGAGATAAGTCTTAAGAAAACAGGAGGTTTTAAGTCATTTGGATATTCACTTTCTTGACTGTACTTCAATACACAGCAGTGTCAAAGCCTACCCAACTACTGAAAGCTTGCTGCATTAATATGCTTATTACTCTGAATCTTTTGAATATTACATTTCATAAAAAGCCCATGCCTTCAAAGGATCATGCCGTTTTCATTCATACCTCTCGAAACATTTATAAAAATTAGTTTTGTAAAGTCAGATTGAATAAGACCACCCCACTTACAGCCTGCTCCATACAGCCAGTAGCATTTTCTTACTTCTGTACAAACTTCAAAAAGAAACCAAAATAAATTTTTTCCATAACATGAAATAGAACTTTAGCCCATTAGGAAGTACCTTGGCATGTGCTTGCATGTTTACTTCCTAATTTTGGAAATTTCAATTTCTTGCATTGTTTTAATTCAGAGACAGGGTTTTGTTTGTTTGTTTGTTGTGGGGTTCTTGTTCCCCTCCCGCCTCCCCCCAAATATGACTGCCATTTAACATTTTATTGTCTTAAATAATTTTTATACTCTGGGAGAAGACTGGCATGTTACAGCTAAACCAGTTATTTCTCCAGGAACATGCCACCTTAATGGAATGAAAATAGTCATCACAAGAGAGGTGATTTCTCAAGAATATGTACGCTCAAAATTGCCATTTATTTATCATTAGAAGGGAAAAAAAATCGTAGCGTCATTCTCTTCTAAAACTTTGCTCATCAAAAACCATTAAATTTCTGCTCATAAATACATAGTTAAACTTACCTCCTCTTATGAAAGACTGAAAATCATGAAAATGCATAAGTATACAAATGGATCAGTGAAGATCCACTGCCTCCGATTTCTACTACGTTAAGCAAACATTAATAGCAAGGCATCTTTGAATTGTTAGACCAGGTTTGACTCTCTTCTAAGAAAAACAAGACCTGGATACAAACACGATTTTGACCTTTTTCCATCATCACCCTGCAAGTTGTCGATGGCCATGCCTGTAGAGAAATTACCTTCCTACTACTGGTACAGGGTACTTAACGAGTTTACAACCATGTTTTTCTGAATAATGAGACACATTAAGAGCAATAGCAGCTCACACGAACCCTTTTATAAAGCCATCCTGATTCTGCTCGATTTGGGAGAATTTTTCTAACTGCACAGGCAAAAAGCTTTGGTTTAGATTTGAAATTTCATATTGGAAAAAAAAAGCAAGCCATCTAGTTCTTTACAGAAGGCGAGAGATGTATTATTCTCAGTGTGAACTATTAGCTTTTTGTGGTTTTGGTCATAGAAACTTAAGGAAATGTTTCACATGACTGCTAACAGATCTAGCGACTCGCTGCCACTGCAAGGGCAGGTCCTGCTTCTTCACCCACACTTCCACTGCTTCTCTCAAGCGAGGCAGTCACACTCATCAGACCCACGGTGAGCCAGTTCCAATGGTATCCTGGGGTGTATTAAGAGGAGTGTGGCCAGCAGGGCGAGGGAGGTTCTCCTCCCCCTCTACTCTGCCCTGCTGAGACCCCACCTGGAGCACTGGGTCCAGTTCTGGGCTCCCCAGTTCAAGAAAGATAAGGAACTCCTAGAAAGAGTCCAGAGGAGGGCAACTAGGATGATAAAGGGACTGGAGCACCTCCCCTACGAGGAAAGGCTGAGAGAGTTGGGCTTGTTCAGCCTGAAGAAGAGAAGACTGAGAGGGGACCTTATCAACACATACAAATATCTTAAGGGCGGAAGTCACGAGGATGGAAGCAGTCTGTTTGCAGTGGTGTCCAGCGACAGGACTAGGGGCAATGGGTACAAACTGAAACATAAGAGGTTTCAGTTGAATATGAGGAAAAACTTCTTTACTTTGAGGGTGACAGAGCACTGGCACAGGCTGCCCAGGGAGGTTGTGGAGTCTCCTTCTCTGGAGATATTCAAAGCCCGCCTGGATGAAGTCCTGTGTAGAATGCTCTAGGAGAGCCTGCTTTAGCAGGGGGGTTGGACTAGATGATCTCCTGAGGGCCCTTCCAACCCTTGCGATTCTGTGATTCTGTGAACAGCTGAGCCAGCACACGACTAACCTCGCAGAAAGAATTTTAAATCCCCAAATCCATGCATTATAGCATCAGGGACCGCAAGAGGTAGCACAAAGAAAGTATCAGGAACATAGATGGCAGCTGGAGCTAAGAGGCATGCTAGGTGGCACCTTGCCATCACGTTAGCTTATCTTCACTGTGATGCCTTAGAGATGAAAAAAATAGAAGCAACAGCTGAATTCAGCCTTATACTAATCATTATCATTTGTAAGTTCAGCGATATGCTTTACTAAGTCTGATAGGAATTAGCTGCAGAATTAATTCATGTAGCTCTCAAGAGCGTGAGTCATTTAAGGCCTCAGAAAAGAAAAAGGGTGGGGGGGGAGGGAAGTAAGAAAATACAATATAGCAACATTTTTCAAATTTGGACAGCTGATTACACTCTTAAGTTCATACACTGGCAGCATCTCAGGGACGTAACGGTAACATCAAAGCGCCTCTCAAAAGATCGTAGTTAGAATTTGCTTGCAGAAGCCAATGGCTTCCATATCCGAAGATATTAATGCTTCCAGAAATACTGTCAACAGCATGACCGAACACGTCTGAACAACAAAGAAACATGGATAGAAGGAAACTTGGTGAGCTGATTTCACTGGTTAAATAAGCAATTTGGATTCTTGAGGAATGCACAGTGAAGCAGATTCCCATAAAAAATAAGAGAAAAGAGAGGTGATCACTTCAGAAGTATTCTAAATAACTGCTTTCCAGACCAGAAGCTTTAGCATTTCTCTTAATTAAACAATCTGAATTGAACATTTACAGTATTAAGACTGCGAAACAAATGTAAAAAAGAAAACAAACCCTCTCTTCAAACAGCTACTGATGCTGACTTTTAATCATAACAAGAGAGAAAGCGAATGAGAAAAGATTATTTACCGGTTGAAATGTTTCCTCTATGGAGACTTGTGAGCTAGCAATCAGAGTAATTATGGGCCACTTGCAGATTTCACTTGGCTGCCAAAATAATAAGCGTACTTTCTCTGCCTCACACAAAGCCTTTTACACCAGTGGGAAAGAAA